GCTGAGGAGGGAAAGAGGATCCCTCAGTCCCAGCAGCTGAGATCAAGACAAGGCCAAGCCCCTCTCTTCCTATTTCGCCATCCCAAGCGCGCATCCCAACACCTTGTGTGCTCTCAAGCACCTCCCCTCCTCCTCGGTGAACCCTAGAGATGGGCAACGATAGAGTGACAGGGAGCTCTGGCGCCCCCTCCGAGCTACAGCACTCCTTTGCCCTCCCCCAGGGGCCCCAGCCCCCCTTCTGGGCAACAGGCGATAATGAACAAACGGCCAATTAAAAGCCAGGTTGCTGTTGATTAATAGACCTTTCGCTTTCAAGTGTGACACCGCCTCGGGTTTCCTGACTCAGAGGGTCGCCTCGGGAGAAGTCACCTCCTGGAGCAGGGTTACGGCTGGGGTCAGTGGGTTCTCAAAACTCCCACTTTCCTCTCACAGCGGGGCTATTGGGGGGGGGGGGCGGGAAGTAAATCAATTGACTGATCAGCAAGCAGCGTGCGTGCGGTGAGTTCCAGAGGAAGCCCAGCAGCCGGGGGTATCCTTGTCCCTCCAGGCCACTAGACCTTCGAAGTTAGACAGAACGGACAACAATTTCACACTTCCTTTCTCCAAGGTCTGCAGATTCTGGGGCTGATCAGAAGGGACTAATTTCCGTAGTCTTACAAGATGACATCCATGTAAATCAAAAGCGGCTTGCTAGGCTAACAAATATCACTCTTTTAAAAAAAAATGTAAGTTACAAAGGCGGCTGCTGTTTTCGAAACTCAGTGAGCCAGGTGTAGACACGTCGGCGAGATGCATGAGTTGTAGACTACGCTGGCACTGCACATATATACCCAATTATGCACACAGACACCCACGCACGGGTATTCAGAGTCACACGCAAACCTACATACAGCCATCCAAAGGCACAATCAGGAAGAGCTACGCACATAACTATACTCAGATTTACATACCCAGGCACACGTACTTTCCTGCACAGGTTGAGCACAGATATACACCCATCACACACGTACAGACATACATGCAAACACTCAGGCGTAGACACCTCTCCATAAATCGGCACACCGCCACCCAGAACACCTAGTTAGATACACTGTGCACACCATGAATCATACACATACAGTCTATCCAGCACAGATGGATGCACGTCCATGCCCACACTCAGAGAGATGACCCCCGCACAGGCGTTGAGAGTGTCCAGGTCTATGATATCTGAACTGCTAGTTACTTCCTAACCCCGCTGGTAGTCCCAGGACTTTGGATTGTGGCAACTAGGGGACGGCTCCGGGAGGGGAAGAATTTAACAAGCACTGTGGTGGCCACTGCAGCCGCAACGGCCAGGGCTCAGGACTCTTGTTCTTGTCTGTCCAGCTTACAAGTAAATACCGAATCGCGCGACTCCCAGGATCAGCCACAATCCGCCCCTTTCAACAAAAGAAGCCATACAAGCCCCTGGCAGCGACCAAAGGCGGCTAGGGCTCCGCCTGGCAGGGCCCGCCGCAACTCTGCAAGCCCAGGCCCGGAAGCCTGTTGGAAAGAGGCCAGCTCTGGGGGTGGGGGAGTCGGACCTGACGGTAGCCTAGGCTGCGCTCCCGAAGCAATGCTCCCGCCTCCGCACCACAGGAAGTGCTGCCCACTAGCAACCCTCCTGGGTGTAGGGTGTTGGGGGATGAGGGTCGGGGTGAGGGGAAAAAGATTTGGCCCAAATGGATTTCAACACCAAATTTAAAACACCCGTTAGTCCTGCCCTTGCCCACTAAATCCAACTTCACTAGATCCAGGGCCTCCGTTCATGAAAGTCCCTAAGGAGTTAGTTGGACTGCAGCGGAGATGTCCGGTCCGTCCTCTCGGGCTACTTTGGGAAATGCCCTGGCGTCCCAAGAAGCAGAAAAGAAGACCCCTTCCCCAGAGCAGGAGCTGTCCCTCCAATGAAGGAACTCGATGCCCTGCCCAGTCCTTAATTCCCCAATTAAAAAAAAAAAAAAAAGGCCACCGCACTGGAAATATAGCTCCATCTACATAGATAAATGTAATCGGTTTCTAGCCCACACCTCTCCCTCCGCAACCTGCGCACGGACACAGACCACAAGATAACATCTCCCAAATATTTATATTCCACGTTGCGTGGCATCTTGCGTCCACATTAGACACTCTAATCCGGCCACTTTAAATAGATGAATTAATAAAGCAAACGAGGGCCTAATAAGCTGACTGTCCCGGCTGTAAGGCGGGGGGAGCGGCGGGAAAGTGCGCCAAATTTGTTTGCTGTGGATCAAGGCGAGCCGCCTCTGCTCCACTGTCTTTATCTTAATTCCGACTTGAAAAGATATAATTATCTAGTTTGAACAGAGCTGCTATCAAATCCTTCTTTAGGCAGGGAAGGGGGGCGTTGGAGTGGATTGCGGCTTTCTGAGCCGCTCCGTGCAGCCGGAGATAGCGAGTAATGAAGTTGTGGAGGCCCGAGATACAAAGGGCATTAACCTCATTAGCATGAAACCTTTTCTTCTAACCATTGTGGGACCCTTTCAGCCTCCTAATCCCCCCTATTTTCAAAGCTCGGTTTGTAATAAAGCTTTTAGGGTTTTTTTTTTTTCAAAGCTAATAGTATTCTCTGAAGATTGTATTGCTGTTACGCTACATAGGACTTTTAAAAAAAATCTTTCCCCCCTTTCCTTGGGGTAAAAAAAAAAAAAGTATATGGTTCCTACAGAAATAAGCCTTTTATCAAGATGGGAAACACTTTCTGGGGAGACCAGTCTGCTGTTTCACTGAAATCTGCTTAATGTACGAGATATTTGCATCTTTTTGAAGTATTACTCAAATGCAATTCAAAGGCAACTTGGAGTAGTTTAGTTAGTGAGATACCATAGGTGAAAGCTGAGGTTGATTCTTTGGTGAGGGACTGGAATCAAAATGTGCTTAGGGACACTTGGAGGGTGCCCTGGGGACGCTGTCTGGGTCTCGAGTTCCTCGATCCACGGAAGAAGCAGCGGCAGCGCGTGCGCGGGCGGGCCCGGGGCCTCCTGCCCCTCAGCAGCCCCAAGCGTGGGTTGGGTAGAGCTCTGAAGAACATGCAGGAATACGCTGTCCTCGGCTCTGGCCTCTCAGGACCAAATCAGGGCCCCCCACCCTTGCCAAAGGCCCAGGCCTAATGGTCACTCACAAGATTCAACGTTCGAGATTTTTTTTTGGGGGGGGGGGTGAAGTGAAGAGAAAGAGACAGAACCAGAGCCAGAGAAAATCACAATTTAAGGGGGTGGGGGAGGAGGAAGAGGAGGAAAGAACATTCTCCATCCTGCCCTATAGTGCCCACACGTGCATGGAATTCCTAATCTTAACTTTTCTAAGGCAGAGTATTTAACAAAGCTTGTATTTTTGCAATGCATTGTAACTTCGCCTTATCACAGTGTAAAGGGTAGTAAGATTGTCCTAAATTATGTCCAACTAGCCCCCCTGGATCCATGGATTAAGAGATTAAAGGAAACCACTGGGCAGTGCCTCCTCTTTCCCCTTCATATTCCTGGTATGATAATTGCTTAAACTGATTTGCACTTTCACAAAAGCTCGTAGGACGCTTTGTAGCTCTAACAGAGCAGACGAGGTTTCTCTATCAATGGAAATAAAACTGATTCATGCGGCCTATCAGGATAAGGAGCGAATGAAGCATGCAAAAAACAACTGCGGACCCCCAGGAAAAAAAAAAAAGCAGCTCGTTTCCTCCGAGAGACTAGTTACAACTTTTCTTTAACGCTAAGAGCAGGTTTCTTAGAATCCATGCCTTATAAGGCAGTTGAGAGCCCTCTCCTCCGACCCATCACCTCTGACAGATTTGAGGCAGAGAAAGAAAAATTAAGACGCATTGGGTGTCATGGGTTTAAAGTTAGAAATAAAGTAATAAAGTTGAAAGTCCAAGTCCCCGGAACTTTAAACGTTGGCTCATTGTTCTCGATGATCAATCCCGTGGGATCTCAATAACGTTATCTCTATGTACCTATACAGATATATTACTTTTAGGACTTGGCTCTGAGGAGGGTCTGAGAAAATTAAATCAATAGTTTTCAAAAGTTTTCTAACCTAAGAAGGAGCACACCTATTCAGGCACAACGGTTCTTTTCTAGGGTGTGATTAGAGAAATTTTAACCACAGACAGAACTTTCCTGAAGGAGATGTTTCTTTCTAACAAACTCCTTTCCCCCATCCCCCATTTGCCATTCCTCTCCCTAAAAAGAAAAAGGACCAGAGGCGGAAGAGTCAAATATCTAGCTGCCCCTTGACTTCCCAAGTTTCTCAAGTTCCCAAGAGGAATACATACATATATACACATACATACATAATCTATACATATGTGTACATGCACAGGATGTCCCAAAAGTCTTAGTGCAGCTTTAAGCTTAAAGCTGCACTAAGACTTTTGGGACGCCGTATATAAGTACATATATACGTATACTTTTTTTTTTTTAATCCGCTTCAATTTTCGAAGACGACTACTCTGCGGGCATATTGATAAATCTTTATTGACAAAATATTGACATTGACATACTTCTTGGAAGTATATAGTGTGTTAGAATTCTAACAAATTAACACAAAACACAAAAATATTTACATTCTGGTATAGAAGACATTAAGGAACCATTTGTCACTCTTTAGTAGCTCTAGGATCTTGGAATATAAACTCAGTGCTTGAAAAGTCGCCGCCCGATATTTGCCACACTCAACATCAATCCCTCTACAGTCCTTGAGTTTGGGTTTTGTTTTGTTTTTGTTTTTTGTTTTTGTTTTTGCATTTTAAAGAAGTTTTGAAGAACCACTTCGAATGGCTGAATTCTGCCAATTTCTCCAACCACCAAAGTTTAAATTCACGCCTATTTTAAGCTTCAAGATGGTCGGAAAGGGAATGTCAAAAAATTAAAAAAAAACACACCAGGATTTAATTTTTTTCCAGCAAAAGTAAAGATTTCTCTCCACCCTCCCCCCACCACCCCAACCCCCTTTCCAGCCTCTCCCTCCCCTCTCATCTCTTTTTCTCTTTAGAGGACCACTATTGGTGAACGGCTACTTCATTTAGCTGTCACAATCACTTTGACGTCAGAAGTTATCAATAAATGTTTACAGACTGTACATTTCTCGTAAAAATAGAAATTAAAAAGCACACAGACCTGTCTTAAAAAGGAAAAAAATTACAATTCAATTTCTGTCTTTAGACACCGTTTGCCCAACAAATGGTACATGCAATTCAAGTTTCTGAAATAGGTGTGGGGTTTGGGCTGGATCTGGAACTGCGATTGTTATTATCACTATCATTATTTTTAAAGAGTGGAAAACTTCGAAGTGCAAAAAATGTCTTCTGCCTGGTTGGTTTTTTTATCATAATTATTATCATTATCATTTTTAAAGTGGACTGCAATAAACGGAATACCTGTCAATCATCTTGTCTCCATGGTTTGGTTTTTGATTGACAGCTCCCCTTGTCCCAGCCGGGTCGGCCATGCCACATTTTGGACCTCTCTCTCTCCCCTTTCTCTCTCTCTCTCTCCCCTTTCTCTCTCTCTCTCTCTCTCTCTCTCTCTCTCTCTCTCTCTCTCTTTCTCTCTCTCTCCTGCCTCTTTAGACGAGAATTGCATGTTGATGAAGGAGCCTTCTCCTCAGTCTCCACTCTGCCTTGGGTTGTGATCCTTAACACTTTCTGCTGGAAAGTTTCTAAGTGCCACCTTCTCTCTTTCTCTTTGTGTGTTTGTGGTTTGTTGGATTTTGCTTGCTTGTTTTTGTTCTTCTCCTTTTTCTGTCTCTGTTATGTCTCGTTTTTGTTTGTGCGGGATTTTGTTTTTGTTTTTGTTTTTAATCGTCTGATGTGACGTCTATTTCCTCTGGACTAGCCTGTTTGGTAGCGATTCTCCATCGGTTAATATGATGCGTCCCTTTTTTCTTCTGTTGAGAATCCGAACCCTCTTCCTCTAACTTCTGACGTTTGAACTTCGTTCTTCTGTTCTGAAACCATACTTTTACCTACAGCGGGAAGCAGAAAATGGTGGGTTAGTTTCTCTCGTGGTAGTTTGTCCCTTTCTCCTTAAATAGAGATTACGAAGATAGATTTAAAACACGCATCTACACACCTAAAGAAGAAAAAACACGCATCTACACACCTGAGAGAAAGAAAGGAGAGAGAGAGAGAGAGAGAGAGAGAGAGAGAGACTTTCCCCTTTTCTCATTCTTTGGGGTGAGACTCTTGGGTTAACAATGACTTGGTTCCCTCACCCAGGGGACACCTGAGGAAAAGGAGACTTCGGCCTGCTTCCAGCTCAGTGCTAACACAGCCGGGATGGGACTGGACAGCGCCCCCCTTTCCGGCCACTCCGATGTCTCTGTTGTCAGTAAAGCCTTCCTGAACAACAGTTAAAGCATTCCGAAGCCCAGGGTGCTTTCGAAACTAGGCGCTGAAAAGTAACCACTGGACATCAAGCCTTCAAAAATATGAAAGGGCTTTTTAAAAAATTAGGGAAAAAAAGAATGAAAATACATAAGCTAGAAACCCCCGCTGCTCTTCTTCCTTTCAAGAGTTCAATATGCTTTTTATTATTTTCTCCACACTTGGACACTGAACCCTAAATATAGGTTCAGTTGCTTAGCATAGGCCTGAGGTCACTATTTTTAGATTTCTCTTCATTTAGGTAGTTTTTTTCTCCCTTTGAGGAGAAGTTTAGGGTGAGTCAGAGGTGAGAAGGCAGAACGGTGAGTGAACTGGGGGAGGGGAAGAGCGGTCCCCAGGTTTCAGATCCAAAGGTGCCTTTTCATGAAAAGTGGTTCAAAAGTGAAAGCATTCAGAAGTCAAAGAGAGAGAGAGAGAGAGAGAGAGAGAGAGAGAAAGAGAGAGAATATCACTCCGCAGAAGCAGTAAGTAGGCTCAGGCCCTGGTGACACCTTGTACTCGGGGCTTCTGTTCGGTTTAGCAGCTCCCCTGTTCCTATGAGAGTTTCAGGATGTCTCCTTTTGTAAACAGTGAAATTCAAGATGTCAATTGTTCGAAAGCTTGGGAACTCCAGGCCAGAACAAATCAGACTCGATGGCCCCTCATCTCATCTGAAGGATACTGGGAAATAGGTTCCGAATCAAGCCCAAATGATTGAAAACATGCCTGGGGCCCCTCTGCTCTTTGGTCTTCAGACAGACTAAGAAGGCAGGATCAATCCAGAAGTTCGTAGCCTGCAAAGCCGGGACAAGCTCTGGCAAAATGAAGACCATAAACGTCTTCTCATCTCTTCTTGTTCTCACCATTAGAATCATCATCACCAACACCACTATCTGAGTCTCTGATCTAAACTCTGGTTGGGTGTAGGAGCAGAGGACATCTAACCAAGCCTCCTGCAAAGTCAGCCAGAGTAGCGGCTGCAGTGCCATCAAATCGCCTCGTCTTTAGGCTTTCTCACTGCCTCCTCCGAGCCTAGCCCCATCGAAACCAGTCCCCTAGCTCTCTCTCCCCGCATTTTCATATTCCCCAAAAGTCTCCCATTAAAAAGCTGAGCGGGAACAAGGGTGAGTTTAATTTGCTTTTAGTTTGCTAATTGAGGGGGAGGATGGTTCATTTCTCCACGCTGCTCTCCAAAGGGAGCCCGTTTGTCGAGATCGGGGGGTTGACACCAAGACAAAAGACTCCAACCAGCGTCGGAATCAGGCTGGACAAAGACCACCTTAAATACAGCTTTCTAGGGGGAAATAAGCCGGAGCTGTGCCTTGTTCCGAGAACCTCATAAAAGTGGAGATCCCCTGTTCTGTTTTGTCCGGGGGACATTTTAAAACAAAAGCCTCAACCTCTTATCGTCTCAAAAAAAAAAAAGTGTTACAACTTAATCCGCCCAGAAAACGTTACTGTTTACGAGAACTTTGAACTAGCCTAGTGGTTCTATAGTACAGTACAGCTTACTGTAGTTGGCCCCCGCCTCCTGCCTAGGCCCAACCCCCAGCCCCAGTCCCAGCCCGGACAGCAGTTCGCCCCCCCCCCCCCCCCCCCCCAGGGTTTATAAGGGGGGGGGGGGGGGGGAGGAGACCGTTCAGCTCCCTCTCTCTCCACTAACAAAATGGGGGAGGGGGAAATGATATAAACAGCAGAACCCCCAATAGCCGCTGCAGTTGGGGCGAGAAACCATTCAAATGGCCCCACTCTGGCGGATGGCGTCTCTTCCACCTGGGATCTGGGTCCTTGATAGGTAACACGTTTCCAGAGATGTAAGCACCCGAAAGAGCCATACAGCGTGAAGAGAATTGTCGAAGCAGAAAGAGCATCGGTCAGTTGGGAGAGGCAGAGGGAGGCAGATCATTGCTCCTCTATACACCCTTAACTAAAAAAACAAAAACAAACAAACCCTGAGCCATCGAACCCAAATAAGAAACAACTCACACTTCTTGGACTGTCTATATTTAACCCACTCTTGAATTAGCGTGGATGCCTACACCACCTCAAACTTCGCTTTCTCGTTCTCTCCTTCCTCCTTTACTTATTCTCCAAGGCTACTGGTGTCTTCCTAGTCTCCTCTCCGAAAGGGGGATGATCTTTCCCCCAACATTAGAGGGTCCGTTGCCATCAGTTCCAAAGCCACCCTACCAGAGCCATCTCTTCCTCCCCTGTCCCTTCCCCAATAGTTTGCCCTGCACACTCCACCACCCCGCTCCATGCCCGGGAAGGCAAAGCTTGCTTCCACAGACAGTGGACTAATCTGTCCGTGCTGTAAATAACTGCCATTCTGGGCTCCGGAAAGGAGTTGAAACCCCATTTGTTAGATTGCCTCTTACAAACACAACCTCTAGTTACTCAGACGAACCAACCACTCATCTGTGGCCTATTCTCCTGTAGCCCCAGTCAGCCTCATCCTTATTACAATCCCTTGCCTTCTTACTAGCTTTCCAGGGACTGGTAGAGCTAGGCCAATGGGGGAGGAGAAACGGGAAGGGAAGAATACAACACTCTGCCCGAATTACTAGATTTTAAAATAAATAAATACAAGACAAAACCCTCTCTAATCAATCTCTGTAGATTTCAAGGCTCACTTCGACGCCCCGCAAACCACGAAAGTCACTAATCTTCCCTAGTGGATCGAAATCAAATGAGGCTCTCGCCCCCAGAGCCTTAAACAAACAAACACAACAAAAACTAAACAATCAATTTTTTAAAAAGTAAAAAGGAAAGCGTTTTTGACCAGTGAGGCAATCCAGATTGTCCAAACTCCAAGCTGCCTAAATGTGAGCAACGGCTCATCCCAAATCTGGACCTCATTTTTCTTCTCAGTAAAATGAGGCGGTTGAACTAAAAGATCTTTGAGATTCCACAGCCCTAAAAGCCAGGCCGAGCACACCTCCCACACTACTCAATCGGAATTCCACTGAGATTCCTTGATGTCCCCTCTGGGTGCCGACTCTTTTTTTCATGGCGACTTTAGAGTAGCCTGCCTTATTTCCGAGAAGCTGGCCTCACTCAGTGGAGTTGAGTCATTTGAGACACACAAACCCGTAAAACTACCTGGGGCCGGGAGAATAGAACAGGTCTGTCCCTTCTCTTTTCTGGCCCCCATGCCAGCCTTCCCAACAAGTCCCTTGCCCCAGGGATTGCCTGAGCACCACGGATCGACCATCTTCACGGCAAGTGGGACTCTAATGCCACTCCAGCATCCTCTCTTACCTGAGTTTCTGTGAGGCTGAGGCTGTGGGCCAGCTGTTTCCTCTCCGCTCCCACAACGTAGTGATTCTTCTCAAAGGCATGTTCCAGTCTCAGTAATTGCGACGGGGAGAAGGCTGTACGGATCCGCTTGGGCTTTCGGGCCAGGGCATTGTGCAAAAGGAAGCTTTCTGGGCTCGTTTCATTTCCTGAGGGGTAGGGAACAGCAGAGCTTGCATTAGGAACACAGGCTTCCTCCCCTTACCCCTCCCTAGGAGTTACTGCCATCAAAACAGGATGGGCTTCGAGGGGACCAAGCAGCCTTTTCCCTAAGTGAGGGAGATAACTCTTCTCTTCCTTTCCCATCCCACCATTCCCACTCGCCCCCACAAACAAAACAATTGCTTCATTGGAGCAGGGAGTTCTGAAAGAATGGAAAACAGAAAGAGGGGGAAAGCAGGACCTACACCAGCTCTCTTAGAGCAAAACTGTAACAATCGGGTTATTAGAAGTAAGGATCACGATAAATAAATTGACGACCCTGCCTGGGGGTGGGGGGAGGAAAAAGAGAGGAATATCATGTAACTCGTCATCTTTTAAAAGTCAGAATAAAACGAACCGACTCAAGGAGGCCTGGTCCTCTCCTTTCTTCTGTAGCACTACAGCCAAAGTGCCCAGCCAGAAACAGCCCACAACTCGGCTCGATCTGGCCCAGAGCTGGGACCTGCTAACTTGACGAACCTGCCTAGTCCCCACAGCTGAGAAAGGGGGTTACACTACCGCCAAACCCCACTCAGCTCTCAACGCATCCCCGTCCCCAACTTCCTACAAATCCCTCGGGTTTCGGCCTGGCATACGACTCAGATCGGCCCCAGCCCAAAGCCCGGCTCAGGAGGACAGGGTCTGGCTGGTTCAGATTGTCCGAGTTTCAGCCAAAGGCAAAGCTACAGCCGAAGCCTGCTGTGCTCCTAGCACACTCAGCTCTCTCTCCTGCTCACTCCCTTTGACCTGCCCCATTTCTTCTCCCGTTTCTCAACTTGTCACACGGGCCTAGGAGAAGAAAAAGAACTATGGCCCCAGCATCTAGGGCCCCCATTCAGGGAAGGGACTAGGTGATATATTTTTTCCCCGATTTAACTTCTTCACTCGAACTGGAAAAGCAACAAGCTGCGATTCCCATTTTTTTTTCCGGCTACTGTCGGAATTTTAATTTTTATTATTTTAATTTTTATTATTAGTTCTTAAGATAATGGGGGAATGGGGGAGAGAGAACAGATAATCTATTGTTGCACCCGGGGAGGAGATTTTAAATATAATCTTAGCAGTCTGCTGGGACTATTCTTTCTCCTAGCTGAAGTAGCTCTTTCTGCTCCCAATTCCCAAGGACCCGGAGAAATCATTGCTGTGATCGAAAGCTTGTGTCATTTTATTTTGTGAACGTTAATCCGTTTGCAAAGTTTGGCCTTGGATAGTTCCTGGTTATTTCGCGAAGTTAGGAAGGAAAATCTTAAACTTTACTAGGAGAACCGTAGAGAGAAGCGGTGAGAGATCTCAGTAAGAATAGTAAACCCAAGCCCAAAACACACAAAACGAAAAGCTATAAACAAACCCACACTCAACGGTCAAGTTCAAACAGAGTTGGGGAGATCTCAGGTCATTTTTTTTTAAAAAAAAAAAGGAAAATATACATGTAGTGGGCGAAGGGGGTGACACCCCTTTATCTCCAACCGTTAGCAGGGACATTAAGGGTTAATCAACGGCCAGCTGCGTTTTGATCGACTGCCCTCAAAAGTGGCTATTTTCCCTCATCTGATTACTAATTACTCTTGCTACCTAAACCCTTTCCCGTCGGTTGAGGTCTCGCTCGCTCTCCCTCCGGGGGAAAAATGAGAGTGAAAGAGAGGGAGAAGAAATTGTAAAAAAAAACAACCAAACAGCCTTCACTAGCCCTTATCTCCCAACTGGGTTATTTCTTTTAAAGAAAGAAATACAATAAACCAGACCAAACCTGCCTTTCTGCCGTGGCTCCAGGGAGCTGTAATTTACGTGGTCGTCAAGAGCCAGAGAAGATGATTCCACCCTTATCTATTATCCAGTTCCCTCCCTCCATCTCTAAAAATCTAAATGAAATAAAATGTCTTTATCGATGGGTGGTTGGGGATCCACTCCAAGACGCGATGATAGTCTCTGCCCAGGGTGATGGGGTGGTGGTCAGACTGCGACTGAAGGAGGTGTGGCGTGCACGGTAAAAGAGTTTCTAACGAAACCGAGGCAAAAGAGGCTATCTCAGTCGAGGGTGGCTGCCTTATGCAGACCCGGAGCTGGTGCAGCGACGGAAAGCACTGGGGCGGAGGGGTGTGTGTGGGGGGGGGGGGGGTAGCTGAAGAACAATCTGGTTCGAAGCTTTTTCCTGCGTTTACCTTCACACAACGAACGCGGTGGCTTTTCCCCTCCAGTGCCCCCCAAGCTCCCCTCACTTTAAGCCCCTCTACAGACTGTGACAACTTCTCCGTCTTTCTTCCCCTAAAACGGTCAACTCGTTTCGGGGAGAGAAAGAGGAGGGAGAAAAGGAAGCAGCTAAAACCTCCAGCTCTCTTTCTGCTTTCATTCAACAAGCACAACTTTCCTACTGCAGGACTTCCAAACCCGGGATCCCGAATCCCAGAAAAGCTGAAGGGATAAAATGCCAAGGCCTTTCAAAACAACGCCTTCCCAATCTTGCTGCGCCCAGACCGGTTCTTGGAGATGAAAGGGGGATAGGGGAGTAGAAAAGGCGAGCAGGGACCTAGGCAACGTGGCACGTACCTTGAAATCTGTGGCCCAGATATCGGTACCTGTGGATAAGCCAGGGGTAGAACGTGGATGGGTCTCTCTGCTGCGAGGCGAAGAGGGGGTGGGGCGAGTGCGAGGAGGGCAAGGGGTGTGCAGCCAGGGCGTGCGGCGGCGGCACCGGGTGGACCGGCACGGCGGGATTGGGCGGGTGGGAGACGGCTTCTGCAAACACCAAGTCCGGGTTGGAGTAGACGCCCCTGCCGGCTGCCGTGTGGAAGCCATTGAGGAAGGGGTTTATGGGGCTGGAGTTGGCATAGCTGAGAGCCGCCGGGCGGATGGGGTCCTCGGAGCGCGAGGCGGGCAGGGGGTTGTCCTTGGCCACCAGCGACTCGATGGTGAAACAGCGCTTGGGCGCCGGCTGGAACATGCTGCGCCGCCGAGCGAGTCCTGGGGGCTCCCCCGCTCCGGAGCGTCAGCAATGCGCTGGCTCCGACGCCGAGTTTCGGGGAGAAAAAAAATGATATTTTTGTCGTGCTGTCGAAAGAAAAGAAAAGGGGGGAGGGGGAGGGAGAGGAGAGCCAAAGCAACTGGAAGGAGCCCGAGAATCTTGAACCAGAACGCACTCAAAGATGAGAGAAGAAAAAAAAATCCTTCCAGAAGAGTTTGCAGGCTGGGGTGGGGAGGGGTATTTTTTTTTTTTTTTTTGGCGAGGTAGCGTGGGGGACCCAGAGCTGCGAGCAGAGAAAAGGGGGGAAAAAGTTTCTCGAGGGAGAAAAAAAAGTTTCCTCTCTTCTGCAAAAGGCGGGCAGGGCACCCTAAGTCCAAAGACAATCCATGGATGTACTCGGTTCTTCACAAGTTGTGCAAACGATTTGTTAGTTCATGAGCCTAATTAGTGCGGGGATCACATAAACAGCTTCCTCTGAAGCCTGGTAAATGGCTTGATGATTGGTCGCTATTACTCGCCTTGAGGTGGAAGGGGGGAGACTCTTTAAAGTGCGTCAGAGGGAGGCGAGCTGCTGGGAACCTGGAGGGCTGGATCCGGGCCCGGAGTGGAACGGAGTCGAGGGCTGCCTGAGCCGCTGCTCTTGCGCTTGTCGGCTCTTGCGCCTTCTCCCAGTGCTCACCAAGGCGGCGGCAGCTGCAGTTTCTTCACCTTCTCCTCCTCTTCCTCCTTCTTCGTCCCCTCCTCCTCCTCTTCCTTCTTCTTCGTCTCCTCCTCCTCTTCCTCCTCTTCCTCTTCCTCCTCCTCCTTCTCCACCTCCTCCTCTCTCTCCCCCGCCTCCTTCTCCACCTCTACCACCACTCCCTCCGGGGCGCCCAGGTCCCAACAGAGTCCCCGCCGGGCGCTGCCGCCGCCACCATCCACAGCTTCCCCTCCCAACCCGAGCCAGCTGCCACGGGGGCAGGTAGGAGAGCACAGATTCCTCTCGCGCGCTCCGCCGCTTCTCATTCCAGAATTGAGCCCGGGGGAGGAGGGAGTGGGACGCATGGGGAGGGCTAAAGGGGGCTGGCTTGGGGTGAGGGTGGGGGAAACTATTATATTTCTCCATCCCCCTCCCCCTCCTGAGGGGGAAACTTAATGTTGTCTCCTAGGCGAAGAGTAAACTCTGAGAGATGTACCCTCCCCTTCTCTGCTACCCAGATCTGTCCTTTCCAAATCTGAGTTCCAAAGCGTCTCTGGGACCGAGAGGGTCCAAGAGACCCTGCCCTGTTAGGTAGTTGGCAAATCGACACCAGCGCACCCCCTTCAAAGGGCAACCAGAGCTTACTGCTAGCTTGTCCCTTCTCTTAATCAAATCACACTTTTTTTCCTCCTGGGTGGTGATTACGACCTCTACCCTCCACACACACACACCCTCCCCCATCACACATACAAACACTTCTTTCGAAAGTTCTGGGGAAAAGAGTCTGTACTGTGGAGGTAGAAGCAGTTTGTGTCTTAGCGGTCATTGTTATATTATCTTTGTTATTATTGTTGTTGCTAATGCAATTTATTAAAGCATCTACCACCATGCCCCACCCTGGATTGTTAATTGCTATGTCTGGGAGAGGACCACGAGCGGTGTGAGTTGAATCTCAGGCTTCAGTCAGGGAGAGGACTAGGCACAGTGAGAGTGAGTTGGATCTCAGGCTCCAGACCTTGTCCGTATTTTCGAGTTCGCCTTTGGTTTTGGGATGATTTTAGGGCTGAGTTCCCTCATCCCCATTGGTTCGCGCCGAGGAATAATTATGATCACATCCCGAGGCTGCTGGCTGCAGCTTACTGTTTATTGGTAGTTAAAGATCTATTATCTATTCATCAGCCGCCTCTTTTTTCCTTTTTTTTTTTTTGCCAATTACATTCTTCTAAAGTGAAGTACCAGCAGGTATTTTTCACGTTTACAATTAATTATATAAAAAAAAAAATCTGGCGTACTTTAAATCTATTACACCGAGGCGGTGTAATTTATCTTAAGGACGCAGAAATGCTTGTGTTGAGTGAATAGGTTGCCGAGAAACCTAGGAGAAAGTAGACCGGGAGGGGAAAATGGGGGGAAGACAGAAATAACAACTCGATACACACATTTTTAGGAGCCTACAACAACAGGAAAAATGCCGTGTCTGGATACATATTTCTTCTAAAAGTGATTATCTGAGGATCTTTTTCTTTTGCTCAGTGGGTGACCCCATACCTCTTCTTATACCCCACATTTCCCCTCCTTTCTTTATTTGCTTGTTTATCGACTTATTTTTGTTAGTGTTGGCATGGGGGGGGGTGTTGTCTTTGGAAATCCCTTCTGAAAATTGGACCATATATTTAGGTAGGACATTTAGGAACCGTCTTCTCTTAGGTATCCTAGCGCATTAATGACTGGAGTTTTGTGCTAAAAAGTTCTTGCATACCCCACCCCTAACTTGGCTATTTCTTTATCCAGCACTGATTTGCAAATACACATATTGTACATACCCACTCATACACACATATGTACATACCCACACTAGTAGGTAAAAAGCAGTTGCCTGAAGATTCTGTAGTCTCTTTTGGGTAACCCCCCCTTCCTCCTGCACTTTCTGGGTTTCATTCGTAGCACGGAGCGAGCGGAGCAGGGGTCGTGTCCTGGGTTTCACCCTTTGTCCAGGGATGCCCCTCCCCCAAGGGAGTTTGACTGCACCTGGTGGTTTACTTGAGGGCCTGAGCTAACTGAGAAACTGGGCCCAGCTCCCTGGGACGGGGACCTAGACGAAAAAACCTCCAACTCGAATGGTTGTGTTGGTTGTTGGTTGGAATGTGTGTTTGGGAGGTGGGGGGGGGAGACTAGAAAACAGGGGGCAGGAAAACTGATTCCCCCAGCCTCTCCTAAGAAGACGAAATCTCCCCATCGCCTGCCTCCGACTAACTCCCTGCCCCAACCTTCACCCCACCCCACCATCTCTTGTCCAGTAATCATACAAAGTTAAGAAAATTTTAAAATACACAAACTTCTCCGGTTTGGTTAGGAACAGTAAAGAGAATTACTGAAACCCAGAGTATTATACTTGGAGTGTGTGTGTGTGTGTGTGTGTGTGTGTAAGTGTGTAAACGTAAGTGTACGGTGGTGGGGAGGAGGAGAGGTGGTGAAAAACGCTGGCCCAAGCCCGTGTTATAAAAAGCAAATTAATATCCTAAAGAGTTTGTAAGTCTAAGTATTGGGATGAACCTGGGGGTTTAAGTAGTACGCTTTCAATCCCCGATAGTTTTTCGAATGGAAAAGACACAGAACTTGGACCTGTTGGTCCCACAAAGTCAACCAGGTCCAGGGAACATGAATCTGGAGAGCCAAGGCTAGGGACCTTGTAGAGTTGAAGAGTGTGTCTGGGCTGAGGAGGGTCGGAGGAAATTTTATTTGGAGGAAAAAATTTCTCTTCCCACCACCTCCAGATTCATAGCCTGCCTGCTTGAGGTCATCCTAAGGATCAGCGCCGCTGGCCGTGGGTCCCCCGGCTTTGGAGGCAAGTTTTGGAAATTTTCAAGCCATTTCTGGGGAGGTATAACGTGGAATGTCAGACTCAGTGGGTCCCAGCTTCTGGGAAACTCATCACTGGCCAGAACCAAGGGGCTTAGATGTGTTCAACTAGGTGGGATCTGGAAGCCAGACACCTGGGACTACCCCAAGGATGCTGGGACCCAAATAACCTTGGATATGTTTTTAATTATTGGCGTGGAGTTAAGTTGAGAAGTGGGAATGAGGTTGTGCAATTAGAAAAGACATTACTGAGAGCCAAAGGGTCCGTAGCATCCCCAGCCTTTTAAGCGGGTGAGAGCCGACACTGAAATGCCTTTTCTAAAATTCTCGCCCCTGCTCTGGAGAAGGTCTCTGATACCTAGTTGGTCCTGTGGTGCAGCCATTGAGCCCTAGAAGGATGGACCCTTGAAAACCTTGCACCTTTCTTGGTCTAACCTTTCCTGGATTACCCCGTTTTCTGGACTTCAGGCGAAGTCATGATGATTTGGGTTTGAAACAGGGTAGAGTTGGAGGGAGGCTGGTGTTTGTGAGGGGAGCTTCATTTGCTTCTCTTGTCTCCAGGCCCCTCCCTTAAAAACATCCCAAAGTGTTTTCCACAACTCTGAAGTCAGCAAGGGTGGTGGTGGGAAGGGAGTTGTTTATAAATCATCCCCGGCCTTCTTTCCAAAGTGAATTATTCACCCGGGGCCAGCCTGATGCAAAACTCGCCCCAAAATGGCACAAATTTTCTGGTTTCGCTTTCCTTGATACGAGGCTTTGGGAGGCCAGCCCCTGAGTGAGACGTATGTGTGTGTGTGTGTGTGTGTGTGTAAGAGAGAGAGGAAGAGAGAGCGAGCTGAGCGTGTGTGCGTTGGAGGGAGGAGAGCAGGAGGAGAGACAATTAGTCTACTAAACACACAGTTTAATGCGCTTCTTATGAGTCCTAAATATCGATAAATAGATTTTCCCTGGTTCTCAGTCCTTTAAGCGCATACTAAGTGGGGGTAATCTATGGTAATTCATGCGCCTGTACCTCGGAAACACAGGGGACAGGTTCACAAGTTAAAGACCCCGCGACACGCAAGCGAATCAAAAAGGTGAGTTACTTATTAAAGGACAGGGGCCTCTTGCCTTGGCCAAAGCACAGGGCTAGGAGCGTTCAGGGCCCGCAATCTAGCTGCTTCTCTGAGTTCAGGTGCTTCGAAGGCCAATGTTGACTCGCTCTCGAGCCTCTTCCGAAGTCCGGGAGACTGACAGGTGGCGACTTAGATGCTCATCTCAGCTCAGCTCTAAAGGTCTCTTTGGAGACTTCGCCACTCTCCCCCTTCGTCCACACCTTACTCAGACCCATCTCGACCCCGGTTTTGTCCCAGGATTTAAGGGTCTAACCCCACGACGGCAGGTGAAAGAATATTTCTCCTGCTTGTCGGTGCGTGAGTGCGTGGTGACTTGGAAAGGGTGACTGGGCAAATCAGGGCGAAGCCAGCCCTGAGCCAGTAAGGTTAAAGGTGTGCAGAGCAGTTAGGGACTGAGGCTATCTTATAGAATACGAGAGAAGTCGCGTCTTCCAACTCTGAGAAATGTAAATAGAACTACGCAAAACCCCATGCACCTTCGAAGTGTGCTTGCCGGTGGGTACGCCCAGGATGAATGCAAACGGACACTGTAGACACCAGACACTATAACTCTTTGACCAGAGGGTCAGTTTGTACTCAACAATCTAATCTTGAGATTTTCAAGGCAAAGGGTCGACCCTGGCTTGAGGTAGTCTTTTCTGGGACCAGTGCTGTAATTCTTGGTCACTCCTTTACAAACCACGGAGCACTTCTAAAAAGGCTGTGGGAAGATGGAATCTCCCTAGTCTAGGTTTCCGAGATGTCCTCAAACAAGAGGATTCCCAGTGTGGGATTCCAAGAACATGATCCTGTTTTGTTTTTCCATTTCCTTCCTTTTCCCAGATCTGGGCTACACGGAAGCAAACTCTTTCTTGCCCGAAGAATTGTTATCAAGGGCTATATTTGGTATGTATGTAACATACGGCATAGCGCAGACGCGAAGCACCTTGTGTCTAATAAACATCTATGTCAGGATTGATTAGTTGAGGCATTTAGAGACTCAAATTCAGGGCTCACCTCTATG